GGCCTCCTGGGACTGCGGCTCCACCTCAGGACAGCAAACCCGGCCGCGTGAGCATGGTCAACGAGCAAGACCGGCATCGAGGGCTGACACTTTGGCGTGCAACAGGACACGGACCAGCTTGCCCAGTAAGGCCAGTTTCACAGAGCCAAAGGTGACCAGACCAGAAGGGTTCTGTCCATGGGGGTCCCAGGACGCCCACACTGCTCCCCACAGCCCACAGTCCCGTAACACGCCAGGAACAGCCCACAGAAGCATGCTCCCCTCCCAAAGCACCGGCGCCATACACACATGAAACCATGAGAAACTGAGAAAGAAACATTTCCAACTCTAGCGCTGACAGAGGAGTTGCAAGAACCAACCTGCAACCTCCCGGCAGGCTTAAATCCCTGAAGGCGAGCAAAATAACCCCCAAAATGTGTTATTTTCACAAGCTGTGCTTGCAAGGTGGGCTTGGAGTTTCTGAACGCCCATGCTCAGGGAAGCAGCTTTGCTTTCTGCTGTTGATTGAGCCCCTGTCCCACACAGGAGCCCCGAGGGAGATGGGGCAGTACAGCCCAGCCTTCCACCACGTACCGGCCAAAGGATGAGGGCAGGATGGAGGTAGTCCCTGAAACGCCTTGCTCCCACCCGGGCACATGCCAAAACAGAGGAGCTTCCATCCTTGCGGGAGCAAAGGATGATGATGACAGTGCTAGGAGGCAATGGAGGGACGGTGAGTGACGAAGGCCGGCTCCCGAGCTGGGAGCGCAGGAAGGCAGCGGTGTTGGATGTCACAGCGGAGTAGCTGGGAGCTATTCAGTCAGAAAAGCTCGTCAGTGTTAATGACTTCCGACGGGAGGAAGCAAAGGGATGGGGTTTGTCAGTGGCGCGAGGCTTGGCAGGGGCAGTGAACCCCTCTTGTGGGACAAACCGAAGGAGCTCAGCTCATCAGAGGGGTCTCTCTGCAGCCCGCCTGACATTGCAGCAGGCATTTTTGGAAGGGGTGTGGGTTCGCCCAGCAGCTGGAAGCCACTAAGGGCCACCCCAGACCCCCAGCACATCACAGCCAGAAGCTCCCTAACTCGATATCGGAGTCCCACAGAGCAGCCGGGCGAGCACCAGCCTGGAGGAAACTCGTGGAATCAGGCTGGATCTGCTGCCAACAGCACCAGGAGGAATGTGAGAGCGGGTTTTGATAGCCCAACTCCGAGCCCTTGCAAAAATCCCCGTTAAGCATCACCAGCCCTCCCGGCGCAGTGCTGTACCACCGTCAACCAGCTGCGGCTTGGCAGCTGGATCGGTCCCAGCCTCCCCATCTCTGCAATTGCTGGGGGTGAGGGGCTGGAGGGGAGCGGGCAAAGGGGGGAGAAAAGGAGACGGGGCGTTGTACACCCCCCTGCCTCACATTCCCACCTCCCAGCTGGCCGGAGCTTTTCCTGGGAGCTGTGCTCATGGGATGCCTTCATCCCCACAGCTTTGTTTCCAACAGCCTCCACTTCGCCGAAACAAAAACAACTCTTTCACGGCCTAAATATCTAACAACTTCTCCTCTCTTGAAGAGGGACAGGAAAATAAGTGGGGCAGCACAGAAACTATCTTCAGCCTTAACACAACACACTCATCCACGTGTGTGGATATATCCGTAAGCTGAGATGGGGAACCTCACCGGCCACACCCCCCCTTCACCAGGGCATCCCCTGGGGCCCCCGGCCAGCCACCCAAACGCCAGGGCTGGGCTGGAGATGCAAACCCCAAATAACAGCAGAGCTGCTCCTTCCCCAGCGTGTGCAGGATGGCACAGGGATGGGGGCGAGCACCAGGCGCACACCCACCACCCTCGGACGGAGACCAGAGCCGGTGCCATGACTTGAGATGGGGAAGATGCCCAGGATGACAGGAAGGACGCCCTGAGGGGCACAGCGGCAATGGGGAGAGGATGCAACGCCTGTTTTGGGTCTCCCGCCCCAACACCTAACCCATCGCACTTCAGGCGATCCCATTTCAGCACCCATCACCAGGGATGCTGTGGTTTTTTTTGCAAGGGGGAAGACCCGTGAGAACAAGCGCTGGCTTTGCAGGGCATCTCAGCCACGAATTCCAGCTTTCCCCTGCTTTTCTTCGGGAGCAGATCAAAATCCCAAACTCACCAGTGCCGACATTCAGCAGCAACAGGCGAGCCAGGAGTTACACCAGCTGTAGCTCCACTTCCCCTGCGCAGGCTCCACCGGCTCTCATTGCCATTTCTGGCCCCGATCCTATACAGATTTATACAGGTGTTGAGCCGAGGACGGCAGGGATCACTCCATGCGCTGAAAACGAAGCCCATGACCCAGAGCTGCAGCAAGAAGCCCCGTTTCTGCAAGCGCTGGCAGCGCTGAGAGCAAAATGGTCCGTGGCCGGGCGTTTGGAACAATGCTGGTCTTTGGAGCGCTGGCGTCATCGAAGTCCCCGCTTCGCTGCGCCAGGGCAGGGTGGTGACAAAGCCACTGCTGCAGGAACACGGGGGCTTTTCAAGCCCTCCTCCCCCAGACTCTGAGCAAATCCACCCTCCTCCTTCAGCCTAGGGTGGCGGGAAATAAGTCCCGTGAAAATTGCAGCTGGGCTGAAAACCCCTGAGAAAAATCGGTTTAGCTCTGCTGGTCCCTCTGGGATAGGCTGGGGAGAGAACCATGGAGATCCTATGGAGCAGATGTCCCAAGGCTGGGAGGGAGAGGAGAGGGGTGAATTGGGTGAATTCCCCCTGCGGCTTGCTTTTGGTAACGAGGGAGAATGGAGCAGCGGAGGAAGTCCTGACGGTCCCGAGGCGGACGAAGGGGTGGCAGGAAGGGGATGTCCCATCCCCAACCAGCACTTACCCATGAAAAGAGAGAAAATTCCACTATTTTGGCTTCCAAGCCATCGAGGCCAGCCTTTCCCTCCCCCCCATTTCCGATGATCCAAACCTGGAGCCATTATCGCAAATTTCCCTTCATCTTCTCCAACCAATATTCCCTGCGCAAACGAAACATCTCGGATCCCCTCTCCCTCTCAGTTCGCTCTTGCTGCAAACCAAGCCTCCCTGCCAGAGCAGGGCCTTCCAAAATCCCCTTTGTTGGAAGCT